TTAACATGGGTGTATTTGATGAAGAATAAACATGATGTTGCCTCTATTCTTCCTGACTTTTGTGCCATGGTGTCTACTCAGTTTCATGCTCGTGTTAAAGTATTTCAGACTGATAATGGCGGTGAATATGTGAATCATAACTTGACCCAATTCTTTCGTGATCAAGGTATCATTCACCAAACTACCACTCCATTCACACCTCAACAGAATGGTGTGTCTGAAAGGAAGAATCGTTAATTACTTGAAGTTGCTCGCTCTCTGATGTTGGATATGTCTGTTCCTCATCATCTTTGGGGATATGGTGTCTTGGCCGCCGCCTACTTGATTAACCGTACTCCTAGTCGGGTTCTTGATTTCAAGACCCCACTCGATGTGTTGTGTGCTCATACTCCTCCGGTTTCGGTCTCTAAGTTACCTCCAAAGGTGTTTGGGTGTATTGTGTATGTTCATGTCTACTCCCATCAACGAAGTAAACTTGATCATTGTGCTCTCCGTTGCGTCTTCATTGGTTATTCTACTACTCAGAAGGGTTATAAGTGTTATCACCAGCCTACTCAGAAGGTACATGTCACTTTGGATGTCACATTTCATGAAGAAGTATCTTATTATGTTTCTCCCTCCTCTTCAATTCAGGGGGAGAGAAGGAGTGAATTGAAGAGTTTCGGAGTGTTGGACCTGAAGAAGGAATTTCTGGCGAACAGGAAGCGACCGGTCGCGAGGATGAAACGACCGGTCGCGAACGAATCTGTCTGGATACGACCAGTCGCGTAGAAGTGAGCGACCGGCCGCGAATGGATCTGCTTAGAAACGACCGATCGCACATAGAAAGCGACCAGTTGCCTGCCTCGACGAGCGACAATAGTATCGATATGAGTGACGCGACCAGTCGCCAGATGATATTCTTGGATTTTTCGAGCCTCTCTCCGAAGGACATAACAGTGATACTAGCGACTCTCGTACAAATGAAATTGATACAAGATCCCCCTCTGCCCTGCCATTGCCTCAATCAAGTCGTGATAATGAGGTACTTTCTAGTGATGTGCCTACCTATTCTCTGCCCCCACGTACTACCCGTGGGAAACCTAAAGTG